TTAACGTAAGAAAAAAATATCTAGAAGAAAAAATGTGAAAGTAAAGAAACTATAATAAAAGATAAAGAGAGAAATTGAAAGAGAGAGAATGTTGCTTCAAAAGAAAGAGACATTGTCATAAGGTTAGCAGTGTCCAACCAAGGTGAAATTGTATAAAACTTTACAATTATGTCAACTCATGTATAAATCACTAATATAAGGTCCAAATATGGGTATTTCCCTAAATCTCTCTTTTAGTAATCAACCAATGTGTATTGTACTTCTACAAAAACCATTGCTGTGTCTACCTTCTCACAACACCTGTAAAGGCATTTCTCTGAAACTTTTATTTATCGTTTGAAACTTCTTTTAGTTGGGACTTATTAGGACTAACTCTATTACTCTTTATCTCATCCGTTAAAATTCAAACTCATTTTAATATCTCGGGACATAAAATCTCGAAATCCTTTTCTTTTGTTAGTCAAAGACTTAATTCAGGACTGGTCTAGAATATACTTGAGATAAAATAAATAAATTTTCTCTTTTAAAAATAAAATATTCGGTTGTTCTCAAATCTCTATTGCTAAAAGTTCAAAAACTAAATAGTGGCTGAATCTTATTCTAATTTAGGAAGGACCAAATAGATAACTTACTAAACGAAAGTTTACAGATTATGCATAATTAATTATACATTATACGTTCGTTAACAGAAGAAACTAATAAACTGCATTATTTCCAAAAATATAGGCTAGATGTCTCAAAAACAAATGAAGAGAAAGATACACAGATGAATTCCATGAAGATTGACCGCTTTTTAAACCTTTCATATGATATATACATCATTTAGTATAACAACACAACTTTAGAAGTGGTTCAAAAAGAGAAGAAAATAAATGTTGTGTGAATTGCTTTTATCAGCTTGATCGCTTACACTCACATGGATCTCTTTGAATAGTATTATTTTGTAAAGTAACTATGGCCGTGAATAAGATATTACAGCTTCATGCGCGCATGAATGTGATATATACACATACGTATGCTATATACGGTAGGCAGAGTTATATGCATGGCTCCAGAAACAATAAGACAACGAGATAGTGTTGCAGGATAGATAAGTGTCATGATCGTTTAAAATTGCAAGTCGCTTTCATTTCAATTCCTTAAACTTCTTGAGTTTCGCTTCGTCATCACTATACATATACACATACTTGTGCATGTATACATGAGCACTTATATTTATACCAACATCTCATCGTGTTTCTATAAATATAAGCAAAAACCACACACATATTTAACATATCAAACTACATCTCTCTGTCTTTCTCTCTCTCTCTTTTTCTTGTGTTCTTGTTTCTTGTTCTTACTTGTCGAGTAAAATGGTTAGCGCGACCGTTGCGAGAAACATTGCCGGTATTTTTGGTAAGCATACAATACATGCAAATATGGATTTTATATTGTGTATGAACATTTCAAAGAATCTTTGTTTACTGATAGTTTACAAATTATTTGTTAATTGTCGCAGGCAATGTCATCTCATTGTTCTTGTTCCTATCCCCAATGTAATCGTTTATCTCTCTATTTTTCTTTTTAACTTATTCTTTTGGTTTTAGATCCTTATTGTACACACATAATTCGCATTTAACATATTTTACATTTAATAATGAATATTAAAAAATATTTGTAATTATACAGACCAACATTCATAACCATATACAAGATGAAGAAGGTTGAGGAATATAAAGCCGACCCATACTTAGCCATGATGTTAGGAGTTTTCAAGGCTCCTAAGTCAAATGTTGTATAGTGGAAGTAAGTTGTCGAACCAGTTCTGAGGGAAGTAGAAGCGATGAGAATGCAAGTACTAACTTAATCTAAGTGCGATCGAATGTTTGGTTGGTTTTAAAGTGAACTAAAACTAAAATGTAAATAAACGATATGACTTTAACTATGAAGGTAAAT